GGTACGCTGCATATGTGTATTCATATATCCATGCAGCATCACGGCCGCTTTATACCAATCCCTTAGCTTCATAATTTGAATGAATTTCAAATAAATTTAATTTAATGAATGAATACGAGCGTCAGGAACGGTCGTCCATTTGTGGGCGGGCGGGCGTGGCGGGCGTTTGGGTCGTAATGTTGTGGCTTGATAGGGCCCTTATAAGGGCACCTCCCTTGGAAAAGGCATTATGCAGCGCCTGCTCAGGGTCGCGGAATTCCGTCCTGCCAGGCGTATTAATCCTACTCTTAGGGGATTTATCGAGGCAACTGCCTTTGAGTCTATCTCTGAAAGTGAAGAAAACTACAAAATATTACACCTACCAGGAGTTTTGAGTAGGAATCTCTGCCAGCTGATCGCTACGGCATACTTCTTTTGTCGTTCTAATACACCTGCTCCGTGCGATACACATCTGGTCAGAACCCAAAAAGCGGAGAACCGACGAAGGAATACAGGCAGGTTAGCAACTTTTTCTCGCCTGCAAAGGCTTCAATACAAGGATTCAATTGCTTTGGAAAGGAATAAAGTGAAAAACAACATTTGAGTTTCCTGATTGCCTGTACCGCAGGGCTTTTTCGGTTCTTGTAGCGGAAAGCTATGTGCCGCCAACACACAAACCGACCAGCCTGCTGTTTGTGAGAAGCAACTCTATGTTGTTCAATGCATCTTTCAGTTCATTCCCAGATTCGCTTCGAGAGAATGGAGAATAAATGACGATTAGAAGCACAGTTTCTACTTCAAGGAAGTACCTTTCTTCAGGCATCGATGTCAACATTTCACGCGCTTTGAATGCACATTCGTAAGCCTCTGTGAACTTGTTGTTGCCGAGGAAGCCCAGTAGTTCGATCTCGAGTTCTTTTGCGTCAACATACCTGAAATGACTCCTTTTGAAAAACCTCACTATTAAAGCTAGAGTTCCGAGCGCATAGCTTCCGTAACATGTGAAAACTAATCGAGTGTCTATCCATAACATCACATCACGGGAGCTTGTGGCAGACGTGAAGTCGTGCTAGTCTTGTTCGCTGCGGATGTTGGGGCGTGTCGGGGGCGAGCTGTGTTTGGCGCAGCGCTAGCCCGTTTTCCACCGATCGTTGGTGGAAAACCGCGTCTAAGCGACAACAGCTGCTGGAAAATGTGCTCACACCGCGCCAGACCCATCCTCTGATACGACCCATCACCCGCAGTGGACGGAACGTTGAATCGTTTTGTAACTCGCAATACTTGGCTAAACTCACGCCATTAATTCCTCCTTAGTTTCAAAAATGGATATGATATCTGGACAAGGATTTGGAGCAGGAAATTGAACAGCACCTTGATCCATGCGTAACAGCGTGTACCTAAAAAAAGTATGGATAAAAAGGATGTGACTCTTCCTTTCGATCACATCTCAGGTAGTGCGCTACGGGTTTGACGAGTTCAAAGAGTACGTGAATCGTTTGGTATGCAGTCGATACAATAAATAGCAGGACTCCAGCCTGCTGTATCTGTATCTATCGCCTCCGAAAGGAGTGAGTGGAGTTATAACAGGATATAATTCTGCAGAATGTGCAAAAGTATCGCAGACAAATGGACTATCTGAACCCAATTATGCCCCATTCACAGGAGCTCAGGCCTCACCCTGATTGAATTTCTTTTCACAGCGGTAGATTTAGCCAAAACTTTGCTTGAGATGTATATTGCCATTCCCCTCCCCAGAACACCAACATTGTGTTCGCTTGGAGCGAAAATGTCTGACACCATCAGGACATATCATGTGTTTTCGCATTACACAAATGTAATGAGCTTGTTTAAGAGGGCACACGGCCCGCTTGGGAGAAGTTCCCAGCACATTTAGAGTTTCAAAGTGCTTATGCGCGGACGTCATGCGATTCCGAGCCAGAGGGGTGTTGAGGGAGTCGAATTACTAGAGGGGGAAAACTTCAACGCTGACCATGGGGATACGATCGGTCCGAGTGTGGACTGAATAATAAAGGATAAAGGATAAGGATAAAGTCTTCGCCGTTGATCAATCCCTTTGTGGGCACGCATTCTACTTCCATTCAGAATCGTAGTGGCTTATTGAATGCGATGTGGCCTATACAATGACTTGCGGTGGCCAGCCGATGTACAAGTCAGTGTTTTATCCTCCCAGACGAATCTGGTACCGTCCCCGGAGGGTAGAAGGCTTGGTTGGCCTGGGCGGGAGTCGACCCGGGATTTGAACCCGGCGCCGCGCGAGTGGTAAGCGCGCCACTTGTCACTACACCACCTCCTGCCTAATAAAGAGGGAAAATTAAGGATAAACA